TTTTTTATTAACTTAGATGTTTATTTTTACCATGAAGACAAAATAAAATCCGAAGTTTTTTTTTTTAAATATTAGTATGTTACATAACCTTTAATTTAAGATACTTTCAAAAATTAAGTTGAAAAAGTTCAACTTTCTATATGCATGTTTTAGTTTTGAACCTCTGTATATAATTAAATGGTCCGATTTAAAAAAAAAGTATGTCGAAAAAAAGATGTATAGCTTTAGCTTANAATTAAATGGTCCGATTTAAAAAAAAAGTATGTCGAAAAAAAGATGTATAGCTTTAGCTTAAATTTAAGATATATATAAAAGTGTCAGTATTTCCGGAACACTTTCAAAAGTTAAGATAATTTTTTGTGAAAAAGTTGTCATTTTAAATCCCTACCTGTGCACAGTTAAAGGGTCAAGTTTATAAAAAAATATATACCAAATAATAGGTAAATACCATATGTATCTATATAAAAAAAAATTCTATTGATTTGGCCTTAATAAAAAATTTATGGCAGTTTTAAGAAAAAAAAATTGAAAAAATTGAAAAAATTAGTGACTTTTAAATTTGTAATTTTTATGGAGATTTCCCCCATTTACGGGGAACGATGGAATTTTTTCAATTTTTCAGCATAATATCTTCGACTATATACTATTTTTGATCTATTGTCGTATCGTTGAAGAAAATTGATTCGGTGAGAGCTGAGAAAAAGTGGTAACAGACACATATAAAAAAAAACACATCACAGTAAAACTAATACCTTCTCAGCTTTACATCGAAACTAAAAAGTACGTTTTCATGTTACCATTTTAAGTTACATACAAACAATTTTATTTTAAAAAAGTGATTTCTTCAATTGTAGTTAATTCAATTCTTATAGTGCATAAGTGAGCGTAATTGGTTATATAATTTTTAAAATATAATTAATTAGGTTTTTCTAATGAATTTTTTATTATTTACGTTCAAAATCATTAATAGCTTTAATAAGTTCATCACTCAATTCACTTTCGAGGACAGTTCGAAAAAACATTTTCACTTGTTCCTTATTTTTGGACTCTCCATAATCCAATAAAATTCTAGCTATGTCTGCGTAAGATATGTACTGAAACATTTTTTTAATTTCATTAAAATCACAAGCGTAGATTTGAATTTTTTAAATAAATCTAATTTTAGATATCATTTAACTTCACGTAAAATATATATATATATCAAATATTGGGTACAACATAGCCAATCTTTTGTATTTTACGTTAACATAATTTTTTGCCAGAATTGGTTTTATTCGATAAATTCAAATCTACACAATCTACAATTGTACGAACAAAATTGTTTGTAATTTATTTTTCTATCATATTATTATTTTTATTAGACATAATAAATAAAAATATTTTTATTTAGGGTATATACAGAGTGATCGAAATCTAGTAAGACACCCATTGTCTCAGAAAATATTGAGAATTTTAAATTTTATTATAGAAAAAAAATATCAAGTTCAAAAAACTCTACAATAATATGTAGTCAAACCATTATTTTTTTCATCCCTTCATTGATAAAAATCCATATTTATAATTTTCTTAAATGGGAATCCTTATTTTTATGTTTATTATATGATGGAAAAAAAATTAGAAACATATTTGTTCTTATCATTTATTTTATCCGATTAATTGTTCGTCTGTTACAGCTTGTTAAAGTTAAGTGATTTTAGGCCAAATTACTTTTGTCATTTTACTGTATTAAATACAGAAGTCATTATTTTTAATTGCTGTTGCATAAACCAAATTTTATTGATCAAGTTATGACAGGTAAATTAGCTATAAAAATTTACTACGCACTAAATAAGTGACAACAATAATAGATTCAAACAGGGTTTTTGGTGTATTATTAATAGCTAAGTCTATGGATATTGTAAGACTAAAGAGTCTAACAAAAATACCGGTTGCACTGACACCGATATTATGAAATGTAATAAATGACAATATTTTTTTCTGGAAATCAAAATCTTTAATCAATTATAAAACGTAAACAGTTGTTCGGATAAAAAAAATTATAAAAACAAAATTGTTTGTAATTTTTTTTTTCTACCATATTGTCTAAAATTATATATATATCTAGTTAGTTAGTTAGTCTTAGCTAGTTTTATTTGATCAATTCAAATCTACAATTGTTCGAACGAAATTGTTTATAATTAACTTTTCTATCATATTATTATTTTTATTAGACAAAAACAATATTCGATTTGTAGTAAAAATATCAACATATTAAAAATATTAACAATTATATCTTAAACAATTCCCATCATATCTAAATCTTAATATTTATGCATAAAACTCAATGATTAGCCACGCTAAAATTTATTATAAAAAATAAATATTGTTTATATTTTATTTATTACCAAAAAAGAGATGAAGGAATGTTATTGAATGCAATATGAGGACGGCTGATTTGTGCGTGATAATGTGGGAGATCATGTCAAGTTTAAGTTTAGTATAAGGGTGACCGACGACAAGTAGATAGGATAAAGTCGAGGAAAAAGAAGAAGAAGAAGAATTACCGTAAATTCATGTACATAATATTTCAAACAAAGAACAATATCTTCCGCATCTTCTCTGCCAGTACTTCTAATCATCTAAAAATAGCATTATTTAACTTTAGTACCTTCTTATAATACTTATAAATGTAAAAAAATGTGATTTTTTAAAATAGGTATCCCTGATATTTCCATTTTATTTTATTTATTCCTATAAATTATTATAAATACATATTCAATATAACCGAAAAAATTATTTGTGATATAACTGTAAACGTTTTGGTACGTGATGTATCTGAGCAAACCTATCGTATCTTTATATTTAAATTAGACATAGTGATGAGTAAAACCACACTAAAAGTGATTGTAGTTTTAGTTAAAAAATAATTACTCTTTCATTTCTTGCCAATTCAGCTGCTGCTGATGCAAATGCTGCTGCAAATTCTGCTACTGATTTTGCTGCTGCTGCATTGTGTCTAGCTTCAAAAAGTTTTGGTGTAAAACAGAAAACTAAAAATATAAAAATAATTAGTTTTGCGTTCATTTTATAGAAATGTTCTATCATAAAATAATAAGTTGACAGTAATATGGTAAAAAATGTTGTACTACCATCTTTTATCTGAACTTTTAGGCGTATAATTCGCGTACTAAAAATATATTTTTAAATTTTCTAGTCATGGTTTGTTATTACAGGTGTTTTCGTGAACTACGTTTTAGAAAAAAAATGCAAGATATGTAAAAAAATGATTATTAAAATTAATCGATTTGATTTGGGCAAACTAGTTGATAAAATATAATGATTCTTAATATTATATGATAATAAAATCAATCAAAGACTTATTGGGATTAGAGTCATTATTAATTAAACCATATTAGTTATATTCGTTGTTATGCAGTTAGAGTTGTTAAAATACGGTATTTTATTTTTTTGTTGTATAATATCGTATAATACACGTATAACACCGTATAAATCCTTGTGGCACCTTAAAATTTGGGAAAAAATAAACTTTAGAATGATTATTTTTCATAAAACTCAATAAATAAATGAGTACTTACTGAAAAAGCCTTTAGCAATATTGATGAAAACAAAATGTTCAGGGAGTAATTAGTTAAAGTTTTGAACTAAGATATTTCTCTATCCAGAATTCCTGTGTAGAGGATGATTTAGTATCAACTAAGTACCAACTATAGTCAATTTGCAACCAGAAACCACCCATGATGTTAAAGGTCTGAGAACTCTGTTTTTTTAAACAAGTATAAATACACAATTGGAATTTTACCACATTAAAAACTTAAAATTTTTAATAACATAATAAATAAAATAATAAAACTCACTTTTTCTTAAAAAAAAAAAATCCTATTCTTTAAATAAACTATTAAAAAATTAAAATATGGTATCTTAAAATCTATAAATGTATTAACATTTGTTACCTTAAAAAAATAACTTAAGCACTTTATCGATTATAAATTTTAGTATCACAGAGTACTAAGAATTAATTTTTATAAAGTATGAAATATTTTATAATCTTAATTTGTATATGTCATGACATCATCAAATAGCTCATCTGTTTCATTTTCGTTTACATTTAATGACATTAGACGATAGGATATGAAAAATAACGGCTTGTATAACATAATGATTCATACATTTTTCAAGAAGTTAAAGCATTATAAATTTCAAAAATAAACAAGAATTTTTTTACAAAAATCGTATTTTTTTTTATTAACTTAGATGTTTATTTTTACCATGAAGACAAAATAAAATCCGAAGTTTTTTTTTTTTAAATATTAGTATGTTACATAACCTTTAATTTAAGATACTTTCAAAAATTAAGTTGAAAAAGTTCAACTTTCTATATGCATGTTTTAGTTTTGAACCTCTGTATATAATTAAATGGTCCGATTTAAAAAAAAAGTATGTCGAAAAAAAGATGTATAGCTTTAGCTTAAATTTAAGATATATATAAAAGTGTCAGTATTTCCGGAACACTTTCAAAAGTTAAGATAATTTTTTGTGAAAAAGTTGTCATTTTAAATCCCTACCTGTGCACAGTTAAAGGGTCAAGTTTATAAAAAAATATATACCAAATAATAGGTAAATACCATATGTATCTATATAAAAAAAAATTCTATTGATTTGGCCTTAATAAAAAATTTATGGCAGTTTTAAGAAAAAAAAATTGAAAAAATTGAAAAAATTAGTGACTTTTAAATTTGTAATTTTTATGGAGATTTCCCCCATTTACGGGGAACGATGGAATTTTTTCAATTTTTCAGCATAATATCTTCGACTATATACTATTTTTGATCTATTGTCGTATCGTTGAAGAAAATTGATTCGGTGAGAGCTGAGAAAAAGTGGTAACAGACACATATAAAAAAAAACACATCACAGTAAAACTAATACNAATCACTGTCAGATATCATTATACTTGACCCAACTATTGCACGTCATCACTGTGTCGTGAACCCCCTGTGCTGGGATTTTTTTTGTTGGTTTTTTTAGTCAATGTAAATCATTAAAATTAATTCAGTTCAAATTTCAATTGTAGAATCTATTTAAAAAATAAGAGTTAATAAGAAATGATTACTATTATTTATATTTAAGTTATCTATTAAGATAAATATGCAAAAAAAATATTCAGTTTTTCTGATAAATTTACTATAAATAGTAATTATAAAATTTCCAAACTGCATATTAATCTTAATGATACAATTTTTTTAATTCTCATAACATTTTATATTTATTGATGTTAATTTCAAACTTACAATTTGAGCTAAAAGTTATGGTAATAAATAAATTTTTTTTTTTTATTGTAAACTTTCACAAAAAAAATCACAAAATTAGATTTTTTTTAACTTTTACACATAAAATGTACATTTTTTTTTATTTTAATGCCCATTTTCACTACGAATACAAGCCCGGATATATCAATATAATATTTATAAAAAAAAAATTTTATAACAATATAAACTTAAATTTATGAATCGTGAATTTTAATACAAAATAGAATGAATTTAATTACGACAGCCATTTGCACATAGAAGATAAGCTGTGGATACAATTCTATTTTTTTAAATTAAAGTATATTAAATAGCCTGTAACTGAATATATATATAAAAGTGTCAGTATTTTGGAAAAATTTTAAAAGTTAAGCTGAAAAAGTTAATTTTTTGTGAAAAATCTACCATTTTAAAACTCTGTAAGTAGGTAAAGGATCAAATTAAAAAAAACCCAGCACAGTGGGGTCGTGGCATAGTTGGGTCCAGTATAGATGATATCTGACAGTGATTAAAGTCACTATCATAAAAAACGCTTCGATGTAAATCTGTAGATAGTGTTTCACTTAAAAAAAAAAAATTTGTTAAAATAGCATATTTTTGAATACGGTAGCCATTTGCGCATAAAAGATAGGTCGTCGGGACAAATTTTTTTGTTTTATTTTATAGTACATAAAATAAGCTTTAATTTGATATATGTTTAAAGGACGCAGTATTTCCGGGACATTTTCAAAAATTAAGTTGAAAAAGTTATTTTTTGTAAAAAAGTTACTATTTTAAATCCCCCCAGTGAGCAGAATAAGAGTTAGATTTTCAAAAATATTTATATCAAATGAAAGGGAAATATCTAAGGTTTCAATACAAAAAAATATTATTTTTATTTGTTCATTTTTGAAAAAGTTATGGCAGTTTTAAGTACAAAGAACATCCCGATAAAAGGTAATTTTTATCGCAAACATTACATTTTTTTTTAATTTTCGACAGCCATTTGCACATAGAAGATAAGATGTCGGGACAAATTTTTTTTTTTCATTTGATAGTATATAACATAACCTTTGATTTGATATATGTTTAAAGGACGCAGTATTTCCGGAACATTTTCAAAAGTTCAGTTGAAAAAGATCTATGTTTTTTACAATATTTCAAGTTTTGAACGCCCCCTATATAAGAGGAAATTGTCCAATTTTAATAAAAAGTATGTCAAATGAAAGATGTACTTATAATGTATTTAGAAAAAAAAATTTGTGCTGATATATACATTTTTCAAAAAGTTATAGCATTTTTAATTTGAAAATTTAAAATCGAAAATTTTAACACAAAAATAGTGTTTTTTTAACTATGGCAGCCGTTTAAATGTAGAAGAAAAAGTGTTGGGACAATTTTTTTTTTTTCATTTTATAGTACATAAAAAAAGCTTTAATTTGATATATGTTTGAAGGACGTAGTATTTCAGGAACATTTTCAAAAATTAAGTTGAAAAAGTTAATTTTTGTAAAAAAGTTGCTATTTTAAATCACCCCCCCCATGAGCAGGTTAAGTGTTAGATTTTCAACAAAATGATATCAAACGAAAGGGAAATATCTAAGGTTTTAGTATAAAAAAAATTATGTTGATTTGTTAATTTTTAAAAAATTTATATAAGTTTTGAGAAAAAAAAGTGAAAAAATTTCGAAAATTAGCGATTATTAAATTTGTAATTTTTTTGGATATTTCCTCCATTTGCGGGGAAAGAGGGAATTTTTTCAATTTTTCAGCATAATATCTTCGACTATATACTATTTTTGATCTATTGTCGTATCGTTGAAGAAAATTGAAGGGTAATGTCTCCAACTAGATACGATTTGTGATCTTTTGACGTATTTTTAAAAGAAATCGGTCTAGTGAGAGCTGAGAAAAAGTGGCAACAGTCATAAAAAAAAAAAAACACATCATAGTAAAATTAATACCTTCTCCGCTTCGCATCGAAGCTAAAATATATATACCAAGTGATAGATAAATACTTAAGTTATCTTTACTGTCTATGTGGGTATTACCCCGAAGAGACCCAACTACAACCGTGATCAGCGTTAGCACTAGGTGCTATTTGCGAGGTACGGACGATCAGTAAACAAGGAGTGACCTAAGTCGGTCCACGATCAAAGTGTCTTCAAACGGAACACCAGCGCCGGATAACTATACTTAATGTATCTATGAGGAACAATTTGTTTTTATCCATATAGTTTTCAAAAATGGTATGGCAGTTTAAATTGAAAAAGTATTAAAAATATCAAAAATTATCAATGAAAGTTGGAAAAAAGTAGTGATAGACACAAAAAAANCGGAACACCAGCGCCGGATAACTATACTTAATGTATCTATGAGGAACAATTTGTTTTTATCCATATAGTTTTCAAAAATGGTATGGCAGTTTAAATTGAAAAAGTATTAAAAATATCAAAAATTATCAATGAAAGTTGGAAAAAAGTAGTGATAGACACAAAAAAAGGTTAAATTGGTACATTCTCGGCTTAGCACCGAAACTAAAAAAAGTTAACTACAATAAAATAAAACTCAGTACAGTGGGGTCATGGCACAATGGAAACGTGGCATAGTTGGGTCCAGTTTAGATTTAATCAGACAGTGATTAAAATCACTATTATAAGAAACGCTTCAATGCAATATTGTAAATTGTGTTTAATTCTAAGAAATTAGAAATTTTTTAGATTTATGATTTATATAACAACATATAGTAGCACACACAAATAGAGTTTAACAATTAAAAATTATAGAGTAAAATTATTTACTTTTGAAGTTGAATACTATTAGCATATCAAATCTAATTCGACAATAAATACTTTAAAATTATTAGAAATTAGTGATTTTAATTTTTTGTATGGATAAACTTTATTCTATGTCAATTAAATTATTTAATGTTCATGAAAATCATTGTATTCGCCTTGTAAAATATTTTAAAATACAAAACACAATATTTTAACACAAAAATAGCATATTTTTAAATACGATAGCCATTTTCACCAAGAAGAAAATCTACATTTCGAATTTTTTTTTTCATAGTAAAGTATATAATATAAGCTTTAAATGAAGATTAAATAAAAGTGTCAATATTTCCGAAAAATTTTTGAAAATTAAATTGAAAAAGCTTAGCTTGTGTGCAAAAATACAAAAATTAAGTTTTAGAATAAAGAAAAATGATTTCCTATAGAAGAAAAGGTTTTTTTACGTGATTTTTACGTGGAAAAGATACTAATCACTCTATATTTTTATTATAAATGTAACTTTAATAATATACCTTTATTTCATTTTTGTTGAATAAATATATTTTTGAAAGAATAAATTTTATTGAGAGATCGACACCAATATATTTTAACGCTTCCTTTGGTCTGGCCAAAATAAGATTAAAAAATATTTATTTCTATGTAAAAATTGTATTAAAGCAGTATTGTAGTGCCCCAATGTGTCCCAACGTTGACGCCTTGAAAGTGCTTGGTACAAAATCATCAAGACAAAAGTTAAACTCTAATACAAATCCTCTAAAAATTCTATGTGCTATCTAACAGCACAATGTTTTAAGATTTAAGACTAGTTACTTAGTATGAAAAGCTCACAATGAATATTTAAATTTAGATTGGGTTTATTATAAAAATAAAATAATTTTGAAACAACTAAGGTTTAAGATATTAATTGACATTTATTTTCGTGATAAGAAAAATAAAATATTATTATTTAATGAACAATAAAACATTCACCAATACAAAATTCATTTACAAATTATTATAAATTCTGTTTGGTTTGAAAATAACTGATTTTAAATGATTTTTATAGTCAGAGGAGAGTAGTATAGCGATCCCTTGCCTGATTTTTGAGCTGGAGATCTTAATAATTTGTTAAATGTGATTAACTGGGCTTAATATAGAATCTATATATAGGCGTTACTTTACTATAATAAGATTCTATTCCTTAGTTAACTGGTTATATTGTGTTTTAAAAAAGGGAACTCTGTTTTGGCGCCTTGTAAATTAATATTATGTGACATGTATAAATGACAATACCATATTATATGCAAACATTATAAGTTTTAAAATAATGACAAAATAATATAAAAAACCAAACAGAAAGATTATTTATATTTGTTTTATATTTTCGTCATTTTAATCATCTATATTAATATTTTAATAGCATGTATCATATAAAATAATATATTTTTATGAAATTAATCGTCATCAGATATAACTATAACAATTTTCTTTCTTCTTTCAAGAGGACGGTTAAATAAACGCAATGCATCCTTGACACGAATATTTTCACCTGTAAATCAGTTTAAAAAATCTATACATTTACATTTAATGACATTAGACGATAGGATATGACAAATAACGGCTTGTATAACATAATGATTCATACATTTTTCGAAAACTTGAAGCATTATAAATTTCAAAAATAAAAAAGAATTTTTTTACAAAAATTGTATTTTTTTTTAATAACTTAAATGTCTGTTTTTACCGCGAAGACAAAATATAATCTGAAGTTTTTTTTTTTTAATATAATAGTATGTTACATAACCTTTAATTTAATATATATATAAAAGTTTTTGTGAAAAAGTTTTCATTTTGAATCCCCCCCTGTAGGCAGGTTTAGTGTCAGATTTATAAAAAAAATATACCAAATAATAGGTAAATACCATATCAAGCATCTATAAAAAAAAATTATATTGATTTGTTCATTTTTGAAAAAATTATGACAGTTTTAAGTAAAAAAAATGTTGAAAATTAGTGATTTTTAAATTTGTAATTTTTTTAGAGATTTCCCCCATTTACGGGGAACGATTGAAATTTTTTCAATTTTTGAGGGTAATGTCTTCGACTAGTTACGATTTTTGAACTATTGAAGTATCGTTGAAAAAATTCGGTTCGGTGATAGTTGAGAAAAAGTGGTAACAGACACATACAAAAAAAAAAACACATCATAGTAAAACCAATACTATATCATCTTTACATCGAAGCTAAAAAGTACGTTTTTATGTTACCATTTTAAGTTACATACAAACAATTTTATTTAAAAAAAGTGATTTCTTCAATTGTAGTTAATTCAGTTCTTGTAATGCATAAGTGAGCATAATTGGTTATATAATTTATAAAATATAATTAATTAGGTTTTTCTAATGAATTTTTTATTATTTACGTGGATAATCATTAATAGCGGTAATAAGTTCATCACTCAATTCACTTTCGAGGAAAGTTCGAAAAAACATTTTCACTTGTTCCTTATTTTTGGATCTTCCATAATCCAATAAAATTGTAGTTATGTCTGCGAAAGATATGTCCTGAAACATTTTCTTAATTTCATTAAAATCATAAGCGTAGATTTGAATTTTTTAAATAAATCTAATTTTAGATATCATTTAACTTCACGTAAAATATGTATATATCAAATATTGGGTACAACATAACCAATCTTTTGTATTTTACGTTGACATAATTTTTTGCCACAACTGGTTTTATTCGATAAATTCAAATCTACACAATCTACAATTGTACGAACGAAATTGTTTGTATTTTATTTTTCTATCATATTATTATTTTTATTAGAGAAAATAAATAAAAATATTTTTATTCAGAGTATATACAGAGTGACCGAAATCTGGTAAGACACTCATTGTCTCAGAAAATATTGAGAATTTTAAATTTTATTATATAGAAAATATGTCAAGTTAAAAAAACTCTAAAATAATATGTAGACAGACTATATTTTTTTTCGTCCCTTCATAGATAAAAATCCATATTTATAATTTACTTAAATGGGAATCCTTATTTTTATGTTTATTATATGATGGAAAAAAAATTAGAAACATATTTGTTCTTATCATTTATTTTATCCGATTAATTGTTCGTCTGTTACAGCTTGTTAAAGTTAAGTGATTTTAGGCCAAATTACTTTTGTCATTTTATTGTATTAAATACAGAAGTCATTATTTTTATTTGCTGTTGCATAAACCAAATTTTATTAATCAAGTTAAGACAGATAAATTAGCTATAAAAATTTACTGCGCACTAAATGAGTGATAACAACAATATATTCAANCTATTTTTATTAATCAAGTTAAGACAGATAAATTAGCTATAAAAATTTACTGCGCACTAAATGAGTGATAACAACAATATATTCAAACCGGTTTTTCGGTGTATTATTAATCTAACAAAAATATCAGTTGCACTGTCACCGATATTATGAAATGTAATAAATGACAATATTTTTTCTGGAAGTCAAAATCTTTAAACAATTATAAAACGGTTGTTCGGATAAAAAAAATTATAAAAACAAAATTGTTTGTAATTTTTTTTTCTATCGTATTATCAAATCAAAAATAGTGGTTCCCATTTAAAAAAATTATAAATAAAAATTTTTATCCTTGAAAGGATAAAAAAAAAATTTATTTATCTTCATATTGCTATACAGTTTTATAAACTTAATAATTTTTCTTTTTACAAAAATTTTAAATAATTAATAGTTTCTGAGAAAATAAGTGTCTTACCAGACTTCGATCACCAGTATAATTCTTAAAATATAAATCACAATAAAATTATTATTCAACCACTTATGGAAACTAAATTCGTACTACTACTAATATTAAAAAGATATAAATATATTTATAAATAATCAAAAAATAACAAAATTTGACTTTACACCTTTTAATAAAAATCATTCATATAAACAGTATGATTCTTAAAAAACACTACCCCCTATATTCATTTTATTTATACTTATAAACGATTTTTTTAATTATATTTAATATAAAAAACAATATTTGATTTGTAATAAAAGTATCAACATTTTAACAGTTATATCTTAAACAATTCCCATCATATCTAAATCTTAATATTTATGCACAAAACTCAATGATTAGCCACGCTAAAAAGTATTATAAAAAATAATTATTATTTATATTTTATTTATTAGCAAAAAAGAGATGGAGTAATGTTATTGAACAAAATATGAGGACGGCTGATGTGTGCGTGATAATGTGGGAGATCATGTCAAGTTTAAGTTCAGGATAAGGGTGTCCGACCCCAAGTAGATTGGATATAATCGAGGAAAAAGAAGAAGAAGAATTACCGTAAATTCAAATACACTATTTTTCAAACAAAGAACAAGATCTTCCGCATCTTTTCTGCCAGTACTTTTAATCATCTGAAAATAGCATTATTTAACTTTAGTACCTTCTAATTATACTTATAAATGTAAAAAGTGTGATTTTTTAAAAAAGGTATCTCTGATATTTCCGTTTTACTTTATTTATTCCTATAAATTATTATAAATACATATTCAATATAACCAAAAAATTTATTTGTGATATAACTGTAATCATTTTTATACGTGATGTATCTGAGCAATCCTATCGTATCTTTAAATATTAAAATTAGACATAGTGATTAGTATAACCACACTAATAGTGATTGTAGTTTTAGTTAAAAAATAATTACTGCAACATATCTTTCCAATTCAGCTGATGCTGATGCCATTGCTTCTGCAAATTCTGTTACTGATTTTTCTGCTGCTGCATTGTGACTAGCTTCAAAAAGTTTTGGTGTAAAACAGACAACTAAAAATATAAAAATAATTATTTTTGCGTTCATTTTATAGAAATGTTCTATCATATAATAATAAGTTGTCAGTAGTATGATAAAAAATTTTGTACTACCATCTTTTATCTGAACTTTAAGGCGTATACTCGCGTACTAAAAATATATTTTTAATTTTTCTAGTCATGGTTTGTTATTACAGGTGTTTTTATGAACTACGTTTTAGATAAAAAAGGCAAGATATGTAAATAAATGATTATTAAATTTATTCGATTTGAGTTGAGTCAAGCTAGTTGATAAAATATAATGATTCTTAATATTATATGATAATAAAATCAATCAAAGACTTATTGGGATTAGAGCCATTATTAATTAAACCATATTAGTTATATTCGTTGTTATGCAGTTAAACAGTTGGACTTTTATTTGCAGCGGAATCAATGGAATATCACTAATATTAATTTTTTTATTTTTTGCTTCCTTAAAGTTAATACAACTAATGTTGCATTTAAAAATATATTAAAATGATGCTTAAACTTGTTAAATTAAGTTAAGTATTTTAGCTTCGATGCGAATCTGAGAAGGTATTAATTTTATTATGATGTGTTTTTTTTTGTCTGTGAACGCTCAATCTGAGCTTTCGCTGGACTGATTTTGATGAACAATATGTCAAAAGATCACAAATCGTATCTAGTCAAAGACATTACACTCAAAAATTGAAAAAAATTCCCTTGTTGCCCGTAAATGGGGGAAACCTCAAAAAAAATTACAAATTTAAAAATCGCTAATTTTCGAAATTTTCGAAATTTTTTTTACTTAAAATTGCTATAACTATTTTAAAAATAACCAAATCAATATAATTTTTTTATGTAGTTGCATGATATCATTACCTTTCATTTGGTATATTTTTTTCATAAATTTAACCCTTAACCTGCCCACAAGGGAGGATTTAAAATGACAACTTTTTCACAAAAAATTAATTTTTTTAACTTAAATTTTGAAAATGTTCCGGAAGGTCTGACACTTTTATATATATCTTAAATTAAAGCTTATGTATCATACTTTATCATGAAAAAAAAAAAAATTCGGACTTTATTTTATCTTCACAGTGAAAATGGCTACCAAATGCTATTTTTGTGTGAACATTTTCGATTTTGTATTTTACATTTTTAATTTTATTATGCTATAACTATTTAAAAAATGTATGGATCAATACAATTTTTTCATGAGAGATAGTATTTATATACATCATTCATTCGACATACTGTTTTTTTAAATCAAACCCTATAATTGAGGGGGGTTCAAATCTAAAAAATGCATGCAGAAAGTAGAACTTTTTCAACTTAATTTTTGAAAGTGTCCTGTAAAGACTGACTCTTTTAGATATATCTTAAATTAAAGTTAATGTAATATACTTTATCATGAAATAAAAATTTCGGACTTTATTTTGTCTTCATGGTGAAAACAGATATCAAAGTTAATAAAAAAAACACGATTTTTCTAACAAAATTCTTTTTTTCTTACTTTATATTGCTATAACTTATTGAAAAGTGTATTGCACAATACACTTTTTTTTTTTATTGTAAACATTCACAAAAATCTACTCTAAAAGATTAAATATATTGGTTAAATATGTCAATTTCCTTTTTTTTAACATATTAAAAATCGAAATCAGTATTAATTTAAAACATTTTTTTTTTGTTCTTAATCATTTTTTTATATTTAAATACTTATTTTTTAATAATAAGTTTTAATATTAAACCTTAGAAGTGATAGAAAAAGTCTAATTACACATTTGAAAACATCGCGAAAAGTTGATCTAAAAAAGTATATTTTTGTTTCTGATGACAATTCCTTGTAGTCCAGTGCATAAAACTAGTAGTAACAAAAATTTTTTATTGAAAATTATTGCATCAAGACCTTTAAATTTTTATACGCGTTAAAAGTAAAGAAATATACAACTACTTTATCATTTTTATAATATCTCCATAAAAATTATTGAATATCAATTTCATACTAAATTTAATTACTAAAATTATTATTTATTCATACATAATAATTATAAATCAAATAACTAATCAGGATAAAATTAAGGGAATAAGAGTTATTGTTGCTTTTGTAATAATTTACTAATTTCTTAAAATTAAACACAATCTAATTATTTCCATTGAAGCGTATCTTATGACAATGATTTTAATCACCTTCAGATATCATCTATACTTGTCCCAACTATGCCACATACACACTATGTCGTTACCCCACTGTACTACCGTTTTATTTTTATATATAAGCTAGTAAAACATTATATTTTCATTTAAAAAACTTATGTTGGTAAAATTTTAAGGCGATATGATTAAATTTTTACTATTTATTTTTTATTGTAAAATGTAGGAAACATTTATCTTCTGAATTGAAAAAAACATATTATATTTTATATTTTTAAAGACTGTGTGAGGTCATCAAAGCGGTTGCTAAATATTCGGTGCGCCACATCAATTAAATAATTTGTTTTTATTAATTAGAAAAATATCAAGTAAAATTAAAACTATATTAAAAATATTATTAATTTAAAAAACTAAAAAATATTAAACTCAAAGCCACAAAAAAATTAATGAAAAGTCGCGGATATGTATTTCGGAAACAATGTTACCATTATCAACGCTAAACACATACTGACACCCCGACTAGAAAAAACTCCCTTATATACCCCTATATATATGTATGTGTTTAGCGTTGATAATGGTAACATTGTTTCCGAAATACGTATCCGCGACTTTTCATTAATTTTTTTGTGGCTTTGAGTTTAATATTTTTTAGTTTTTTAAATTAATAATATTTTTAATATAGTTTTAATTTTACTTGATTAATTAGCCACAAGTGATCAATTTTTATTATAGAAAAATATGTTTCAAATTTTTTGTTAGACCAAAAAAATCTTAATTTTATTCTATCATATAAAACTAAAAATCAAGAAAGCTGTTAAATATATTTTATATATAATCTGCTCATATTAAGAAATATAAACGTATAATTTAACATTGTTATATCATAACAATGTATTAAAATTTAAAACAGTCTTTTATTTCAAGAATAATATCAAAAATGTATTAATTTTTATTTTAAATCATATTTAATGTCCAGCCATATTATAATCTAGGAATTAATAAATTCAATTCCTAAATTTTGAATCATTCAAAATTGTATACTTGATGGTTTAAGGGTACTTTAATACTGATAATAGTGAGACACAACATAAACATGATTCGAAAAAAGTTCATAACGATAGTATATTAGAGAATACTACTATAACTTCATAATTAAGTTAGAGATAAAGTTTACCGCAATATCGATAATGAAATTAACACAAAAATATTCAATGTAACAATAGAATTATTATAGTTGTCCTCTGTTAATTTTGTTTGAAAAGTCATACAGAAGTTATCAGAGATATATTTGGTTGATCTAATATATCCTTATAAACATGAAATCACTTAACCTATGTATTTTAATATAAATATTTATAATATAATATAATTATTATAATTTAATTTTAATTTTTAATGAACATATCAGATTAAATACTTGATTGATCGATTTTATTAGTAAAAATTCATTAATTTACAATCAATTTGAGATCATGAATTTTGCGATGTCAACATTATGGTTAAATATAACGAGACACTCGTGGGTGGGTTAATTTCAAAATGCTTAATTTAAGTCTACATCTTTTCATTCAATTCATATAAAAGTTACTTGTTTTTGTACACATTTTGAGAAAAAATAATTGGTACCTTAAAATATGCCTACTTTGTACTTTAAACTATACATTATCTACTTTAATTATAGTGTATAACTTTTAATATTAAAAGCAGGCAATCCTGCTTACTAATGTAATGGATTGTTTATATTTAAAGGAAATGGAAAGACAGGGTTTTGCAGATTTTCACTCTCTACCCTACATTAACTATAGTTATGTATATAACTATACACTAAAATAAAAGTACCTAGTATACCAAAATGATTATTTTAATGTTAGCCACTCGATTTCTCTAAAAAATAATAATTTTTTTTTTTTTGGTTTTATTAGTTACATATGAATTTCCATTTATCTGTTATAAAATATTTTTTATGATGTTTGATGTGTTATAGGTGTACTTATTTTTCTAAAACGCAACATACATATTTAATTAGTTAATAAAATAGAAAATTATCTAATTAAGTAAATGACTGGTCGATAATAACTTATGAACCTGAATTTAGAAGTTATTAACAATTTGAAGTAATGACTGGAGGTGAAATTTATGTGCTATTATTTCTATCACTAGGCATTTTTCAACCTTACTTCTCTTCTCGTCTAGGCATAAAAATATTAATAACTTCTTAAATACTGGTTCAAAAGTTGTAATGTATAAATTATTTTCTTCGTTAGATTAGTATTTATTTTATAAGATAATTATGTATGTTACCATTTGAAAAAAAAATTTGACACACCTACAAGACATAAGGAATGGACATAAAAGATAGTTTATAACAGATAAATTTAAATGCATATGCATCTAATAAAAGTAAAATAGAAAATTCACAAACAAATGATTATTTAAAGAGAAATTGAATGGCTAATATTAAAAGGATCATGTTGTAGTATTTGTTGACTGGGTAAAAAGTATTATGGTATAAAATTACTATGCATAGTATGTTGTATATAAGCACTTGAAAATTACTCTACAACTGCTATACTATTTTACGGCATAGGTAATACGGAAAAACAATAATTATTAATATATTATTATGATATCACAGCTGGCTAGTTAGTCTTAGGAAGTACTTTTAGATACTATAACTGCATTAGTTACTACAAAATTTAATATGTTTTTTAAATGTTATTTTATGGTGAAATTCTACTTATTCTTTTTGAATTAGATTATAACTACATAGGAAAGAAAACCAATTATTTTGAATATACGTCCTTTTGTATTTGGACGATTCAAATATAGTTAACTTCGATTTAAATACTTTGATTACGATAACGAAATTGAATAAATTATAATCAAAGTATCGACGAATAAATCTACCAAATATTAAATTTAAAAAAATATATATTTTATTTAGAATAATACAA